CACTTCCAGGGATGGTAACTCCACAACCTCCCTGGGCAGATCTTAAGGAAAAGAAGACTTCAGCTGAATGAAATTTCCAGAGAGGAGAGCATGAGAAGAGGTAATATCTCACTCATATTTTCACATTTGTCCTGATATACCAAATGTTTGTGAAAAAAACCTGTAGAATAAGTTGTGCATCTTTTCTTTTATTGAGGCACTATGTTAGGGTGTGACTAGTCCTCTTTTCTGTTTGTAGGCCAGAGTCAAGCAGCTGTGTTGCTGAAGGGAACAGAAAGATTGTGTTGAACTTTTCAGTGAGAGCCTTGTGATGTACCCACCAGCGTCTGCGTGCATCATCCATGTCCTCTGCTGGCTGGAGCCTCAGAGGCTCTTTAGTATGTACCTTAAATTCTAGTCACACTCCAGTGAGGGAAGAGGTGAAAAAGGATTCCTGTAAGGATTGTTACACTGGCAGAGCGGGGCAGATTAAGGTTTTTAACTCAAAAATGCTGTGGTTTGAATGCCTAAACTTGGTCTATCCAGTTCATGCTGAAACAATGCATAGGATTTACAGACAGCCTAAGTCTGTTATTAGTCCAGCGCCCTTAATTACTGGCTGCCCCAGCAGTAAGGTACTTTGTGCTTTGTTGTACCATTACCCATATTATCGTTATGGGACTGCAGGATGCCCTTAGCCTCCCTTTAAATGGGTGGTTGTTAGGTCCCTGCCTCAGGAAATCACCACTTGACACAGGCAAGCTGTCATCTTGTCTTAACCTGCTATAAACCTGAGGGAGCAGTGTCCTCCGTGAGACTGCCAAAATATAGTATATTTCTTCTGCCAGATTTTGAAGTTCTGTTGAATAAATATATGTCCTTATATGATAACAAAGGCAGAAACAGGTGACTGCATGTTGTCTAGTGTCCATGTGTATATACCGCTGAACATGACCATCTGGAATTGTATGCACAGAGCCAGAATATTGGCTGAATATATAAAGTAGTGATTCACATTAATTTTCATACTGTCTGTTTGTGTCTGATTGCTAATCAATAAATACCTTATCAGTTATAAACTAAGGGTTATACAAGCATACACTGAAAAATGTCATCTAATTACTACTGACCAAGGAGAACTATAATCAATATACCATGATGGTGGTAACACATTAGTAAGCATAATGAAATCCAAAGTTATTCCCTTAAGGATGCTAATATTGATAGGCGCCCTTTACCTCCTTGCCCTTTACTTTCTTGTATATAACAAGGGGACAATAAATGGAAGCCTTTGCAGTCCTGAGTAGTACTGAGAGTGAAAGGTAGCTGCAAAAGGTTCAGAACAGCTACACAAAAGAACTGTTTTATAAAAACCCAGATCCTTGTCTGGTATACATGGTAGCTTAGGATTGGTCTTGAATATGGCTTGTTTACACGACCATCATCATAATGAAAAATATCATGAGGCAGGGTTAATTTTCAATGGATTCTTTCCAGAAAAACACGTAGAAGGATCTGGGATCAGTTATTGGGAATAACTTAGAAGTGGTAAGGGAAGCTTTTTGAGTCTCTTTCCAGCCACCTATACAATGGTTTTCAGTAGCACAGGAGGAAAAAATGCCCAGAAAGAACAACAACAGAACTTTAAGGAAGAAGAAGTTGTTCTTAAATAAAGCAGTAATTATTATTTTCTTTTTTTTTAAGGCATGCAATAAACATTTTTTCCTATCAATGTTATTTTTTGGAAAGAAACTCATTACTCCAACTTGAAATCTCAGACCCTAGTTTTGCAGGCTGTTCTGCTTTAGCAGAATGGGCATCTGCCAGTGCAAAGGAGCTGACAAAAGCACACTGTGAAAAATCTTCCAAGTTTTAGGTATGCATGTTTGAAGGATGGAATTTAGTTGTCATCTTAAAAAGGTCATCAGTGCTCCATAACTGAATATATTTTAAAATTATATATCTGTCTTTGCTGTCTTGTTGGTGTTGAAAAGTGATGGATAGGTACATGTACAAATCTAATCTGTCTGGGAGTTGTCTAGTACCTATTGCACAGGTCTGAAATCTTCCATACAATTCTTTGCTGATATATATACAACAGTGTGATGCAGGGATTAAAGCAAATTTTGCTGAATTCCTTGAGATGCTAGTCACATCCTATGCTGTCTACAAAGTGGTCTTACTGGCCTCTCAAAATATCTCTCCACATTGCTATTTTTAATACAGAAAAGCAAAAAAAAGGTAAGGCAGGGACTGTGTTTCACTTCTGTTCAGTTTCTCTAAGTGGCAACTGCCGTCTCTCTTTGAAGTGCCAATATCTTTGCGTGTCCCAGAATAAGCAACACAATAAACCAGATTCAGATTCTTCAGACAGAAAAGCAGAATTTGAGTTAAAATTTGAGCAAAATGTCTAGACATTGAAGGAGGGCATTCCAGGTAGTTAAACTGCTTTCATTTAAACTCTTTCATCAAACCCACTTTAGCATTTCCCTGTCCTTAAGTATTACCAGTCTGAGTTCAGCCTAGAACAGAAGTACAAAATAATGAATGGCAATCAAAGTGAACTGTTCCTCTAGTATTTAATCTTTTGAAAAATACAAGAACATAAGAAATTAAAATTATAAGGCTAACTAATGATTACAGGAAATACAGTGAATGGAAGGAAATATTTTTGGAAGGGGGTCCACTTTAGGAGAATACAAGTTTGGCTTTGAACATAAGATGGTTACCAGCAATGCAAGGCATAGCACCCCTTTCCTTCTTTTCTGCTTTTACTCCATGGAGACTCATTGACTCCATGGTGACTCTTAATCATAGAATATAGGTAAGACAAATGTAATACAGAGCAAAATAATATATTTGGAAAATGTTGTAATTTAATACATATCAGACCTAAATCCTGAAGTTTGTAAGATTTCAAGCATGAATTGCAAATACATGTAGGTAACAAAAACAATCCTGAATGAACATTTAAAAGGGAGTTGGTAAAGTATGCATCAGAGCACAAGATAGATAGCTACTTATAAATGCATCTTAGGAAGACACAGTTTATTGCAATAATCTGCTTTCCTCTCACCTTCCTTTTACTTTTCTGGTCCTGGCTGCTCTCAAAAGAAAAAAAAAAAAAAGAGCTGGGATCAGATGAATAGGTCTAACATATCAGTTATTGTGTTCTGTTATCTTTACAGTGAGCCTTGGGGAAAGGTTGTCAATATTAAGTGCCTGGTAGATAAAAACTGTTGAATGGGAAGAGACTGGTCTGTCTCCACAGCTTCACTCTTTCACTTTTGCAGTTCACTTCCTCTGCATCCACTAGGTGGTCCTGGGTGCTCTGTTTCAACTCTTCTGTGATTTTAACTTCTCATTCCTTCTTTTCTGGTGATTTCCTGCTTTCTCCATCACAAGTGTTCTGCTTGCTATTACTTGGCTGATAGTGAAAATATTTATGACAAGACTTCTAGATTTTGCGAACCTGCAAGCGGTCTTAGCACAAAATGCTATAGATCCAGTGTCTTTCAGAGCTCTGGATAGAAACAAACCTGACCTCAGGAAGCTTTGCCAGACATTTAACAAAATTGCACAGCCTTTAAACTGCAACTCTGTGTGCCAGCATAAAATTTTAGCCATGTTAAGGCATTCTGAAAAAAGTCAAACTTCATATAAGTCATGAAAGTTTTGCTAAGATATTACCAGTCATATTTCCAGTGAAAAAGCATGTTTTGACAAAGGTGATCAAAACCAGCTGGATTCTTTTCTGCTGAGCAGTCTGCTACATATATATATTTATATTCATGATTCCACTTGAAACATTAATGGCAGAAATAGCTTTGACTCGTGGACTTATCACTGTAACTGGGATGAGAAAATTGTCACATCCTCTTGATAACTTGCTGTTCAAAAGCCATAAAATACTATTTCTCCATGTTAAGTCTAAAGGCTTCATCTATTTTTCTGCACCTCTGTTATGACCAACAACCTGAAAATTCAAAGAGAATTAATATAATTTGTGTTTTCTGCTGGAGTAAGGAATGAACTTTTTATAAACAAATGGCTACCACGAAATCCTTGCTATTTTCACTAGTGAGGCAGGCTCTATCTGTGGAAGGGGGTGAATTATTTATGCAGATCATGCCTAGCTCAAGGGAGATTTTTTAATGTATCCATGCCAGCAGCCACTCTTCACCCATCAGAAGTCCAACTGTCTATTAAGCATCTGACATAATAATTTGAAAAGGTTATTTTATCAAATAAACTGCAGTTAATTGCTTCTAAATGCTTAAACTGACTATATGTAAATCATAACCACATTCCTGATATAATATTGGGAGTACTTTTCTTCTGAGGTATCTCTGCTACTATCACACTGCTTTTGGCAATGGAATAGTATTAAGCAAATACTCTCAGTTCTGTCAGCAGACTGGATCAAAAAGGTGGTTCTGAGATTGGGGACCATGGGAAGTGAATAAAGGGAGTCCCAGGTCCCCAGAGTCACTCATCTTGCTGCCTCCACTGCTGGGTTTTCCTGAGGAGCAAGCTGGTTTCCACCAAAGAAACCACACAGAAAATAATGAAGCATAAAGTCCCATGTTCACAGACAGCCCTATCCAAATGGCTCATACAGCCCTATCCAATTGCTAGGGATGGCTGGATGGGGAAACTGGGACTGGTGACCAGTGCTGGCAGGGAGTGCAGAGGCAGAGCAGATGAGTTGTCAGCATTGGCCAGATAAAACAACTGAAAGCCAAGGAAGGGACATCTGAAATGTTTGCGAGAGTTTGCAAGAAGAAAGGATAAACCACTACAGCTCAAATTTTAACTAATGAAGCTATAATATTTGAAGTCAACAATTACATTAAAGTTAGAACCTTTTGAAGAATTAGAAATATACTTAATTACAAGAAAAACCACTGTGTCCCTATAGATATTGTGAAAAGTGGAGAAATATTACATAAGATAAATTTTATGCTACAAAGTCCCACGGATCTAAAGGTAAGCCACGTATTTTTAAGAGCTAATTCCATTCATATGGAATGAAATTAATTCTTGCATAGAGCATCAAACCTGATGAACTATTTTATGTATTATATATTTAACTATCTTGACTTAGAGTACACAAAACAGCATTGTCACAAATTTTTGTTTTAAATATAACAGTAAAAAATGTAAACTGTAAAAAATGTTTTGTATTCTGGATTATCCTGTCATATAGTATAGTCAGCATATACAGACCAGTATGTCTTTGGCACAAATAGTAGTTTATAGAACTAAACTGAAGAAATACATTCAAGCTGAAGTGTCATCTATGAATTATGAAAAGTTACCTGATACAGATAAGACCATAAGCCTTTAGGGAATTGTTTGTTTGATTGATTGTTTTGTAAATAAAACCTTTAGAATTTCAAACATAGCCAGGGAAAAGAATATTCTCACTTTCGTGGGTCATTTGTATTAAGGTTCTCAAAAGTACAATTAAGCAAAACAGATTAAACATCTTTATCTTATAGGATGAAGAGCTACTGAAAGTACGAGTATCATTTGCTTCTAAATCATATCTACTGGCAGCTGTGATAGTGTTATATTCTGCAGTTGTTATATTAAGTGTATTATTTCTAAAGGTAGATTGGAAATCTTCTATTTCAGGATGTGTAGATAATGTCACCTTACTCTCAGAGGGAAATGAAAATGCAGTTCTGTTAGACAGGATCTTTTCTTCAGAGGCTTCTATGTTAGAAAAGGAATTTGGGGATATCTGAATGCAAGTATCTTCTGAAATGCAAGCATGGAGGTAATGGATGTCGTTTATATCAGCTCTAGGTTCACAGCTGTGCCCTGCATAACAGTGGCAATCAAATTTTTCTATCAATGTTTGCAGATCCTGAAGTGATGGTTGCCCTTGTAGAGTGTATTTCCCATCCTTTGTCATTTGAATTACAATATTCTCAGGGTTCAAATGAAGATAGTCACTGGAATTCCATTTTTTCCGTGCACAAGCACCAGAGTCTTGGCATAACACTTGGCTACAGATTCTGGCTGCCATTGTGACGTTGATGAGGTATGGGGTCAAAGTCCTTCTGAGGTAGTTGTCCAGAATTCTACAGGTATTCTGTGAAAAGAGCATCATACCTCCATAGTTTAGTATGGAAACCATTAAAATGCTATCATTCCAATGACAGTACCATAGTGTATATCTATAATTGTTTCTCCTGAGGTTTTGATAATAGCTATAACTGGTTATTGGAAGCAAGTTTATCTGAGAAGCTGTTATAAAATTCAAGGATCACAGCAAATTTATGTTGCGTAGTTGCTAGAGATGTTACAAAAAGCACGTATGTCAGAAAGCAGACAACTTTAAGCTTTCATTTTATCTCTATATTTCATGTAGTTTTTTGAATCAGATGCATTTAAAGAAGTTTCATGAAGGGTTGAAGTTCCTTTTAATGTCTTGAATAGTTCAAAGGGATCCAGTGAAAAAACCTCACTTCTTCAGCCTGAACAAATATTTTTTCTCTCAAGTCATCTCTGTGAGACTCTTCAGCTTTCCTCTGGCCTGAATAGCTAGGCTGCAGGGTAGGGAGCTTTCATGGCATTTTGGAATTGAAAGAATTTTGGTTGGATGATCAAACTGAACGTATACTGAGAGAATACTAAGAGATCATTCTAACTGATTATGAAATTGGCATATATTCTGTGTATGCTTAGCACAGTTTAATAACGAGAGGTTTTGGGAACTCTTTCTTTGTTTCTGCCACTGTGCCTCCTTAGGGTGTTTGCCCAATAGATTCAGATAATGTCTATATGCATGGAGATAACTTTGGTGAATCTGAGGTATATGTAGGTTTTTTTGTTTTTCTTTTAGGTATATATAAAAGCACAAGAAATTTTGGTTGATGCAGAAGTACAATAATATTTCATTTCTGAAGGGCTAGTTAATGTGAAAGCTGTAAAAAAACAGATGCAATTAGTGCACAAATGCATAGTCTGACTGGGCTGTGGAAAGTTCATTTTACAGGAATCTCAAAATTCAGGTAATAAAACTTGCTGTTTATCTATGTTCTGATATTGGGATAATGGGCAAAAAAGTTCTAGGTGCAACCTGATATCCTTTCTCAGGGGCAGGCACATACAAAAAAGTCAAAGTGGAATGCTTTGGTGAATAAGATTCTTACAGAGCTGTGGAGGTTTATTTGGCCATGCTTTCTGTAACAGGAGGTGTGGCAGGGCTGAAGAGTTTCAGGTCTTTGCACGCAAAGGACTTAATACTAGAGTCTTCCCAGTTCATTATATCTAACTTGCCTGGTTATGAATGAACTAGCTAGAAAGATTTTTGAAATATCCTTGTAACAGTGTTTCTCAAACTATGTATTTCCCCTTCCTAAAATAACCTAGAGGTTTTTTCCTCTTCTGACTCAGATCTTTCATACAATTAAATGAAGTAGTACTTACAACACAGAACAGGCTAGGGCTGAAATTTTACGGACTGACTCCTCCTAGCGCTCTAAATATTATTACCAAGTGCACCTCTTCAAAAAGCAGAAGGGTCTTCTAAAAATTGTTCTGGGCAAACACAAGTAATTTTTTCTTTATCTCATGACTGGAATGTAAAGAAGATATAGCAATTCTTTACTTACATTAATGAAACAAGTGCTAACTTGCCTACAGTTATGATAGTTTGTCCAGTTACTCAGGGCCAACAGCACTGATACTTTGAAAGATTGAACTCTTGTTCTGTGTAGTGAATGATGATCTTCATAAGCCTCAGATGTACTTGGGTTTTGACTATAGAAAGCTGCTGGCAATATGGAATCATAATTTTAAAAGTAGAAGATATGATGTAAGTAATCATAATGCTTTATTATCCTCTTCACTTTATTGCTCCTTAAAATTTTCATGTAATAATTGATCTGGCATACCTTATTTTGTGTTAAATTCATATCACCCCAGATCACAATTCCAGAAGCACCCAGTGCAGCAGATTCTCCAATGGTATTCACCAGGTCATCCTGAGGGAAAATGTGCAAAGAATCATCCTAATGTAAGTAATCTATAACACAAGGGCAAAAGGTATAATGCATATAGAAATTGCATATCCAAAATGACTGTTTTGAAGACAGCAAGCAATTATACATGGTGCAAATGTTTTACTCTCAACTGCACAATTTTATTCTGGGATTGAATTGCACAGGTGATGCCAGAAAATGTTGCCAACTATATCCAATTTATATATGTCATCTGTTAGAAAAACAAGGCTGTAAAACTGAGCCAGTGATTAGGCATATGACATACACTCCTCCAACCATTCTAAGGTTTATTTTGCTGCATTGCCTCCTGACTGCTCAAAGTTGGTAGCAACGGGTTTCAGTAATGTTGTGGGAAGAAGATGTGGAAAACACAGCTTTTTTTTTTCTTTAAACTTAATTCCAGTTACCAGGAAGTGCTAAAACAGAAAAGTAGCAAGAGAAAGAGCTTTCACCAGCAAGAATCTCTCTTCTCCAGAGAATGGCTCTGGCCTTTTGCAGATATTGATCAGGGAAATTTGATTCTGTTCAGTTCTCCTTTTAGGGTCAGCTATTAACACGGTCCTAGCAAAATGTTGAAGCCTATCTGAATGGGATATGGTAATGAAAAGAACAATATAAAAACAACTTATTATGGGGGGACAACACTAGAAAAGGATTAATGTAAAGATTATAGGAATTAAATTATTAAGTAGGATCCCAGCAGGGCCTCTGACATTACCCCTTGCTCCCTGAAGGTGTACACAGAGCTGGGGGGAATGCCTGATGATGATCTATCGAGAATATGAAACGACCCCAGCTACAATGCCATCAGCAGAACCACAGCCTCTAACTTCCCCTTCCTCATGTCCTGGAACACCAGGAAGAGGTTCCCCAGATCGATGGTATCTCTGATGGGGTGGGTGTCTATAAAAAGGGAAAAGTATAGCCAGAACTGCAATAAGATGATTGGATCTTAATCAGAGCCTAACCTTAACTAACCCATGAGATGCTGAAATTCCATTTAGAAAGCTATCGAAGACAGAATTTTCTAACTAGCTTTTAAACACTTTTTAGGGAAAGAAAGACTCCATTTTATTGTATTTTTTTCTTATAACCTAAAATGCAGGCATTAGATCAGCCCAGTTTTAGTAATTCTCTTTGGAAGAGGTTACCCATATTTCTTTCCTCTGACTTAATGTACTAAATATGCTTTCTAGCTTTGTAATATTTTGTTAGATGTAAGGACAACTCAGAGAATAAAACACTGTTTGATAAATATGAGACAGGTTTGAAAATAGACCTCAGTGTTCTGATTGATCAAATTTCTTTGAAGGATGAATTTAATTTTTTATATAAAATTGCACACCTTTTTCTGATACAATTTAGCATATTTGCTAAATAGCTGTCACCTGGTAATTTCTTTCCACATAAATTTGAAATATTTAGGGTCTAGCTTCACTCACCTCAGAGAGATATTCCTCATAGACATCTGTGAATACTGGACGTGTATATACAAAAACTGGAAGGGGATGAGTAGAATTAGAGACATAGGAAGTTCTAATGGCTTCTTGAACTCTGTTGCGAACAAAGAGCTGGGCATTTCTGGAGGATCTTAAAGCTGTCTCTAGATAGACAGATGGATAAAGTGCTGTGCTTTTCTTCCATAACCAATTAAGCTCATTATTTCTTTCTATTTCAATATCTAAACAGGCTCCTGTATAATTATATGGGTTTTGTTTGTAATCATAGTTATAACAGTCTGGATAAAGGTAATATCCCCACAGACGATTTGGCTTCATTTCTATGCCCAGCTTCAAAGTTTCCAACATGAATGATTTTGCTGCAGCTTCAAATTCCATTTTAGCTATAGTTCTGGCTTCAGCTTCAGATAGACTGAGGTCTCTCTGCTGAACCAGTTCAATCGATTCCTGTCTATAAATGTCTTTTGATCCCCAGTTCCTTATCCACACGGGTCTCCAGTTTTCCCAGTCAATGACAGCCAATCCAAGCTGTTCATCTGAAGGAATGTAGAACTGGATGTCCTCTTTGACTTTTCTTAAATGATTCTCCAGCAGTGAGAGTTGAGGAAGTCCTCCATTGAATGCCTCTCCTGTGACTTCATTTTTGTAAGGGTAGTAGCCAAGCCTGTCTGGATAGAAAAGTGTGATGTTTTGCCCGATGGATGTCTTCAGTGTGCTTCCAATGAGAGGAAAAAAATTCATGTCCAGCTGCACTCCAGTCTTTTCAGTACAAAGTTCTGTAGGAGCATTCCAGATAGAAAGAAAAGGTGAATTAGGAACAAGTGGACGAGCTCTTATGGTCACAGATGAGCAGCAAGAAGCTAGAAGAGCGGTGAACACCACACCCGATACTACGGGATACATATGGGTAACACAGATGCCAAAGCTTTGTATTTGTCTTAGAGTTTCCATTGTAGCATGTGCAGTGACATTAGGTTCTTGTGATTAGACAAAAATTAAATGCTCTCTGGGTGTTCAGAAGGTTGGTAGTCTGTCAAAAGCCTTACCGTACAATATATTTCTTCAGATTAATACCAATTAAGCAATATTCTTTAGGTATAAAATAGGGGTGTCCTTTTTACAGTGCTCTCTGTCATTTCAGGCTGCAGGAAACTTCTCAACAATTTCTGAGACCTAATGCAGAAAAGGGGGCAAATGTAAATAAAGTAAGAAATTATACATATTTCATTTCTAACCATGAAACAAATACCATTTGTGATTTTGAATATATTGTAATGTTTGAATATAATTCCCTTTTGAAGGAGAAGAACAATGTACAATCATAGGGGAATAAACTGTATGTATATAAAACTGTAGATATAAAACTGACAGTGGAATAGTATTCAGTGACTCATGGATCAGAGTGAGTGTGCTTGGAAGTAGTCCTGATTGTGCCAATTACTGATATCTGTAAACATGAGCAGTTTCACAATGGCTTCTCTTAATCAGCAATAATGTATATGTAGTATTTCTCACCTACCTCAAAATAAAATTCTAGCTTTTAAATTTGTTAATTTTACAGAGCACTTAAGGGAAGATATAACACAAAATTGAAACCTGGACTGTTTTACACTTACTAAAAACAAATCCGTATATACTCATTTAAATCAATGAGGTAACTGAAATATTGTAGGCACTTTATCTTCTGTCCAGAGCTCTTTTAAACAGGCTCAAAAACCTATGGTAAGTCTTGGTATATAGTCATCTGTGTGTTCAGGCCATTTGAGATGTAAGATTAAGTGACCTCAAGTCAAAGTCTTCCCGGTTCATTAGGAAAGCTGAGACTGTCAGTACACCCACAGTGAGCAGTCACATTTAATTTCATTCAAAAACATGTTAGTGGTGGTAGCCATAGTACAGTCATCAACTTTTACATAGTAGCCCAGAAGCTAAAGCATTCCTTTGTGCAGGAACTCCTGAATCCACTTACCTTTTGATTTTGAAATTGTTCAAACCTGAATGTCACTTTCTGTAGAGGCCTCATGATGAAGCTGTAGAGTATGTAAGGATTATGTGAGTGTGCGTGGAAATATAGGAGTCACCATGAAGAGGCCCCAGGGTGGCTGACAGTGCAAAATCTCTGAGGACAAATTAAAAACAAAGCAAAGAAGATTTTGCTCTGTATTTATTGAATTCAGCTAGGAGCAGAAACTGCAAACCTTGGTATAGAAGCAGTGAGTGGACTGAAATCTAAAAATTCATACAGATATTTTATCATTCCACAGCTGCCAATGTGATAACTAAAGAAATCCTGCCAAGAATCAGTTTCATAAGCTAGACTTAGATCATAGATCCGATCACCAGGAAAGAAGGTATGGCTCTGTTCATTTAAATTGCTCCAAGAACAATACCTCATTTGCATGGGATCAGCTTGACGAGACTTGTAGAAAACAGTGCTGGATGTACTACTCAGAGGTGACAGCAGAAGAAATACATCTTTCCTTTGAGCTAATCAATTTTGTCTCTCTCAGCCTCTCCTCCTATGACAAATACTATAATCCCTTATTCATCTATGTAGCAATTTGCTGGACTTGTTCCAGTATGCCCATTGCTTTATTGTACTGAGAAGCCCAGGAGTGCACATAACACTGCAGGTGTGGCATTACCAGTTCTAAATAGATGGGAATAAACACTACACTACATTACTTGACCTGTTGGTGGCAGATACTCTTATTAAATGTCATCTAGGAGGCTCTTGGTCTTCATTGCTGCAAAGATGCATTGCTCACCCTCTAAATGGCAGCATGATTCTCTGGTATATCAGCCATTCCTCTCAAGTTTGGATTGTTTGCAAAATTGCCAAGGGAGCACTCTGCCCCATTGTTCAGCTAATTAATCAAGACGTTAAATAGTATTGGAGCCAGTATGAACCCTTGGTGTACATTACAGGGAACAGGCTTCCAGCTGGACTTGGATGGGCCTCCAGCTGGACCTCCTAGTACTGATCACAACCCTTTGAGCCTGACAGTTCAGCCAGTTTTCAGTTTCACTGTCCATTTATGTAGCTTGTATTTAATCAGTAAGAATGTTACAGGAGACAGTGTTGAAAGACTTGCCAAAACCAAGATCAATAAGTTCTCTCTTGTGCTCTCTGCCAGTGCTCTCCTCTTATCCACCAAGCCCGTCATCTCTTTGTAGAGGGCTGTCAGGTTTGGCAGGCATAATCTGCTCTTTATTAATACATGCTGACTACTTCCAATCACATTCTTGTCCCTAACATCTGTAGATGTTTTCCAGAATTATTTGCTCTCTCAACCTCCCAGGGATTGAGGTGAGGCTGGTCTGACCAGCCTATAGTTCCTTGGACCTCCTTTTTTAACCTTTTTTAAGACATTTACTTTCTTTCAGTTCTTGGAACCTCCCCCAATCACTGTGACCTTTCCAAGATTATCAAGAGTGACCTTACAATGACATCAGCAGCTTCTTCAGCACATACAACTCCTTGTGGGCACAAGGAGTACTGTTGTGTTCCATCGACTTGTATGTCCAGTTTGTTTAAATGTTCCCTAACCTGAGCCTCCTAAATGGAAGGTACATCTTCCTTCCTCCCATGTAAGTCTTTCCCATTGGGTCTAGATTCCTAAAGGCCAGTCTTTCCACTAAAGATTGAGATGGAAAAGCCATTGAGTACCTCTACCTCTTCCTTGTCCTTTGCACTGGATCTCCTGCCTGCCTCATTCAGCACTAGGCCCCTGCTTTCCCTTGTCTTCTGTTGTTCATAGACCTGTAGAAGCCCTTTATGTTGCCCTTCACATGTCTTGCCAGAATCAACTCCAAATTGGCTTTGGCTTTCTTAACCCCAACCCAACACCTCAGACAGTGTCTCTTGTTCACTTGTCCCTGCTTCCACCTCATGTGTGCTTCCTTTTTGTGGCAAAGTTTTGTCAGGAGCTCCTCCTGACATTGCTTGATTTCCTCTATGTGGAGATTTTTGAGCTTGGAAAAGCTGACTCATGAAAATCATTTAGATCCTGGACACTTCTCTCCAGGGCTGTCTCCCATGGAATTCTTCCAAGCTGATGCCTCAAGATGCCAAAGTGCACTTTCCTGAAGGAGTGGTTATGATCTTGCCATTTGCCTTGTTCCCTCTTTTCAGGATCCTGAACTCTATCTCATAGTCACTACAGCCATGACTGTCCCCAGCCTTCACCTTCCCTGTTTGTAAATGTGAGGTCCAACAGAGTATCTCCCCTTGCTGGCTCCTGCATTATCCCACGTGAAATTTCCTGAAATGGTACAGACTGAGACTTTGAGGACTTAAAGAATTCCGTACAGTAATTCTGAAGAAATATATTTTATATTTATGCAAATACAGCTTATTCAAATGAAATAAAATTATCATACATAAACAGCTTATACAAACTGACGTTTGCCAGGACAACGATCCTTTATGTAATTGGTTTTGTCATTACAAAGTGAGATCACCTCAGAGAGGAGCTGTAGTAGTTCAGCTCTTACTGTGCCTCTGGCTTTGATTATAAAAGACTTTTTCCCCCATTGAAGTCAGAAACCTACAGGACCGGGACACAAACTGTATTATTAGTTCCTGTAAGTTTTTTTTTTTTTAATAAGTGGATTTCAGTAAAAGACTGAGTTGATGTAAAGGAAAAGAGGAAAGCATTGTTTTAAATACTATATTTACTAGTTTAAATTCATTTATTATTGGCTAATCTTGCAAAGTTTGATTTAACTGATTGTTGGGAAATGGTTTTCCTCCAAATCTTGCTCTAATGTGCTCTACTGGGTATGAGTTAATAGGTTATTTTATGTGATAGTTTCTGGTTAAGAGGATTGCCTTTGACCCAGCCTAATAATGACAGCTCTGATAAATGTTTCTCTCTTCAGCCTCCTTGAATGTCTGTTTAAGTGAGCTGAGTCATAAAGCTGCCCTTGTCTTTGTCAAAAAGTCAATATCTTTACAAAATATTAACACTAATTGCTCAGGGGCTACCTGACTAGAAGTAGATGCTGATGGATCTAAGTGCCCTTAGTCTATGGAAATAGCTTCTGCTTTAGATTTTCCCAGATCTGGCATTTGTAAAGGTTGAGTATTAGAGGAAATCATATTAATTTTCTTGGTTTAATTATTCCATCATTTTTTCACAGCATAAACGGAACCACAGAAACATACAACTGAAATTCAAGTGTGCTCCTGTGTTTTTGGTAACCACAGAATCATAGATCTGGGCCATACCATGTATTCCTGGAAAAAAAAAAAAGCTTCACTTGACCAAAGACAGCTAGAAAATAAAAGGGAGAGGAGTACTATACATCCCCTTGAATGTCACACAAATGGATGTTGTGTGTTGCACCACAACTGGATGGTGTATCTCATCAAAAGTCATTTTTTATGCTGTTGGGCTGTTCAAAAAGTTCCAGTTCAAAAAGTGTCAGTAAACATTAGAGGAATCCAGCTTTGTGTTTTTTATTAAAATTAGGCGTGAAAGTCCACATTTAGCCTTGAAATAATTAGACATTGCTTAGTCAAGTCAGATCTGCTAACCTAAACTTAAACCAATAAGCACAACCAGTATCTGACATTCTTGTGTTAATAGTATTAATTACACCTACCAAATTTCAAGCAAAAGTACATAAAATCTTGCACTTTGCCTGTTTTAACTTGAACATATGAAAGCAAAGGTTCATATGAACATATGAACAACAGCATGTAAGAACACTTCTAAGGCTGAGATCATCAATGTAATTATCATTTTAGGTGGTAGTTCTCAAGTGTTTATTAACTGTTTCTTGCATTTCAAACAATGTGTGTGCTGTTATCTGTTAATTAGTGACATAATAACAAAAAAATTGTGATGTGAAAATTGGCTGGTCTTTTCCCTGTGCCAAAGAAACTATAGATACAGAAGTCTGCAGGTAGAACTGCAGTTTTTGATGGGGCAGAAGAATCTAGGTCTTTCATGTAAGTTTTTAAATCCCTGTGAAGCTGTGATGTAAGATGTGTAGTCAAATATGCAGGTGGGACCAGAATATTGAGGATTTAGTCCCTATTCTTTTGTTTTCATATAAACACTAGCTATCTTAGTGTAGAAATATCTCCTGACATTACAGACAAAATACAGTACTAGACAGTGTACCTTTATAAGTTCTTGGGACAAATTGCTTTCTGTCTTCAT